CATGAACCCTAGCTCGGGCGACTGATTTTGGATACACATGCACCCTATGTAATCGACATTAAATTAATAATTGTTTGGCTTTTTTGGAAAACAGTACCCTTGGTGGTTATTTGTTAAAGTATTAAAATCTAGATATTCGAGGGATGTATGGTAAAATAAGAATATCTGGACAACCAACCTCGTTTGGATATTAATCTTATCTTGTCTGTTCTTAAATCTCCAATTCTAAGCGCCATGTCGAGACTATCATCAGTTCGTTGCATGTGATGAAAATAATATTCATTTACACGTAGCTTTTCTTTGGTGCAAACCATCTTTAATGCACCTTTCAGTGTGTCAGTTTTATAAAATTTATAAGTTCGCACGTCGGAATTTGGAAGATGAATTTCAAGATCCACCATCTAAAAAAAGAAATATAAACATTGACACGTCTTCTTGTAAAATACATAATACGTATGTAGGCAAATATATCAAAGAGGCATATATTGTTTAATTTGCTTGCTTGAATAATTGTTCGAGTCCTAGCTGGCGGACACTAGCTATAGAGAGGAGGGCATGGGATAGCACAGCTTGTTCATGGGCATGCATGCAAAATCGTATATTAACTGGCCACGTATCTTCATGCAAGAAATAAATCGTCTCACCTCGCTACCAAATAGGTCGAATTTATCTTATATCACCTAAACTAGCTTTAAATCGCCTTACCTCGCGACTAAATTGCCTATATTTCTCTAACTGAATCAGCCTTTCTCACAATGACGAATATATCCGCCGCCATTTTTGGGTGGCATCCAATTCTCGTTAACCAATGCAGACAATTAAAACAATGTGAAAAGCAATTTTTCAAAATAAACTAACCATTTACAACGCAGATTTACCATCATTCGTCCAAAAAATTATAAAAAGTCGCTGTTATGTGGACTTATCTCGCAGATTTCGGCTGAAATGCCACCCAAAAATGGCGGCGTAAGAAAGGCTAATTGCCTAGCTTGACTCGCCATAAATGCATGCGCTCGATTCGCCTTCAATCGCCTCAACTTGCATTACCTCTGCATGGGCGTGTTAAAGAGAGTTACCAAACCAGAGTAAACGTCAAGTTTACCTTGTCTAAATGTTGACTTTCCAGTTCGTTTGCTTTTTTTATCGTTGAAGCCATTCTGGATATTGTATCATAAAACTGAAAACGAAAGAAAAACAGTATTAAGAAGGATTTATCGTTCGGAATCCAAGATGCAGACATATAGGGTCATTAATACGAGCACAAATTAAGCCACGGCTTAGATAAGTCGCAAACAACTTGTATAAACAGTCAATTTGTTCGCAAGCCGCGGCTAAAATAAGCCCAGCCAGGATTGAAAGATAGGCCTAAATAAGTCGAGGCTTATTTAATTTTTGCTCGTATAAATGGCCCAATTTAATCATGTATATGCAAGACTGGTGTTATGGTTTTGGTTGAAATTTCCTGAAAAAGATTATAATAAGAAAACTACGACGTTTTGAGTCTCTGGTTTTTAGCCTCTGGTTTTGAGCCGGAAGATTTTCACTATTTTAGCTCAGAAGATCCTTCGTCTGCATGGCTTCTATTAAATTAGCTTTCAAACATTGAAGTCTTCGTTGCAACTTTTAAACGTCGACGTTTTCGTTGATCTCACTTCGTTCCAGAAAAACACACTTTAATACACAATATAATCTCACTTCATTCCAGAAAAACACACTTTAATATACAATATACAACACTTACACTGGGCGCCCATGCACGTTCAACGTTTATATATAAGACGAAATGAATACATATACAGTATATGTTTTGAACACTGATAATTAACATGCGACTGTCAAAGATACATGAAATTTCTGACGTCACTGGCAAAGATATAACATAACTGATGCATGTAATTATTATACTGCTGCAGCTGGCGCATTCATCCCTTCCATTACATGTATAATTGTCCGAATTTTGACGTTGTTCATTTTCCTAAGTGAAATGGCAAACGGCTTTATAAAGCGAAAATAAGAATGCTATATCATGCCAGGTTTAAGGGGTTAGCTATTTATTTTTTAAAAAACATCTATTTTACACCAACGATCTGACGTCACTAAAAATTATATACTGTTACCGCATATTAGGCAGCTCTCAACGTAACTATAATAATTCATTATGTGTTTCCTTACTGCTTTAGACTTGTATGTAAATTTGTGTTGCACTCTGTAATCCATACATCTCATTACGATACGGGTATTTGTCGCTACTTCTTATCGTATCATTGGTAAAAAACTATATATAATTAAACTGTACCGCTGTAGCTCTTTTGCCCTTGACATTGGATGTATACGAGACTATACGAGTGTGTTATTGCCTCGGCATATTTGATCGTTCCTTTTCGGTTATTCAAACTATTCATTTAATATGACCAATGCTTATCCAATTTATATATATATATATATATATATATATATATATATATATATATATAATTCTTGTTGTCCGTAATTGAACGAAGAGTGCTCAATACCAATATACGATAGAGCTTAAATAATTCTTAAATAATTCGCCTGAAGATCGCTTTGAAAGAAGCGTGAAACACAGTGTAGCGACAAATATATTTTAAGATTAAAGAAAATAGTGAAACTGAATAAACTGAAAATAGTGAAACTGAATAAAATTTAGGCCACTATGAGCGACTTGAATATATTCGACGTCTTGAGAGAGGGTGCTTTACACTAGAATTGCATCACTCCATCAGTGTAAGATAGTGAATAATAATACATCATGTATGAAATGTGGAAATGAGCATATGCAGCGGCTAAACTAACCCAATAGGCAATATATTTTGTTTTTCTCAGCAAGAAAACCTTATCTAGATCGCGTTTCGAGATCTAGATCGTGTTTCGTGATCTAGATTTCGTTTCGAGATCTGCATCGTGTTTCGTGATCTATAGACCGTGTTTTCGGTCTGTTTCGTGAGGAGTTGACACAAAGGAATTTTGATAAGTTTAAATTTCCTGCATGATAACGTCAACATTTTGAGTGAAACAATAAATTTTGATGCATGGTAAAATCATGGGTAAAATGTCAAATCCTGACTTGGCAGTCTGGTCGCCATATTGAATTTAAGTGCGCCGGAGCCTCGAATTTACTTGAAATATACAAATTTTCCCTAGACTTTCGTTCCATGCATTTACTAGTGAATTATCCACCAAAAAATATTTTAGGACAAAAATCGGTGTTACGAAGCAAATTTTCAAAACAGTTTTATAGTTTTAAAGTCATGTAGAGTTTAGATCTACCGCTGCATTGCGAAATCATGAATGAAATACCGTAAAAATCGCATTGTCACGTGATGCAAATGCTGTTTTTGATTGGACAATTTGAATTTGAGGTATAATATTGCAGCTTACAATTCAGTTAATAGATCTTTTTCCTGGTTAAGAGGGAAGAGCCTGGGAACGAGGTTGGGTAACATTAACCAGACTATGGTAGGAAGAGAGATAAAATAACCAGGAAATTTCACCAGGAATATTAAATTAACCCAAACCGAGTTATTTCTAGGTTTACCATGACCTGGAAAATTTTAACCCGAGCCGTGTTTTAGAGTGTAATAGAGCTTAATAAGCAAGCGACGTTTTTCTCAACACGGACGTCATGAGATGCCGAGGAGGGACTGGATTAAAAACTGTGTTTGTATCAGTTTGTGGTAATTTCAACACATATGACAAAACATAAGATTTTTAAAGTTTTCAGTTTGCTTCCTTAGATGATAGGTAACCCAGACACACTGTGCGATTTAAATTTAAGTGCTTGGTATAATAATAATGTCAATGATTAGCTTGAAAATATTCTGTTTACACTAAAATGTATCACTATAATCAATACTTATCGTTGAAGGAAATATACTTACGTACATAGCATGCATCAGCAAAAATAAATAGTTTATACCTTTACTTTAGTAGACTAGCACTTGAAATCCAGCTTTAAAATCAACTGACATTCGTGCTTCTATACTAAATTTAGGTATAAACTATTCATTTTTGCTGATGCATGCTATGTACGTAAGTATATTTCCTTCAACGATAAGTATTTATTAGTGATACATTTTAGTGTAAAAATTAAGAATATTTTTGAGCTAATCGTTGACATTATTATTATGAGGTCGATACCGCAGGGGGTAATTAAGTATACAAAGCATTTAAATTTAAATCGCACAATGTGTCTGGGCCACCTATGCTTAGATGAGGCAAAATGCCGCCAAAATTAGTTATACCAATTTTCGGGTGACGTCCGTGTTGTCAAAAACGCCGCTTGCTCACTATTGTCATTCAAGCACTACTACTCGCACTAGATTTGGTTATTAACTTTACTGTAAGTACCTGAAACGCGAGTGTTCTGTTTGAAAATTTTGCTCCAAATTTTTCTTGATCTTGCCAACAAACAGCGTCTTCTTTTATACTTGTCTTTGTTTTGCTATTCACAATAAAATCTACGACCTTTAAAAATAGAATCGTGATCAAATAGATCAAATAAAAAAACTTTGGGCAATGGTTCTCGTCATATAAAGGCAAACAAATTAAGGTGTATACCAAACCAGTAGGATGGACACCCAAATTTTGAGTAGGCCTAATAATGGTAAGGTCATGCATATCCTGCGTTAGGACCATTACGAACAGTGTCAAATTGTTAAAGTGCATATGACATGAAATTTCTTATTTTCTTAAATGAAAGAACTCTTTAAGCTGTAGTGTAACTTATTTTTCAGTTTCTTGTTTTTATGTTTTGTTCCCGAGATATTTCAATTCGTTTGATATGTAAATGAGTGTGAATATGTCCGCTAATTTATGACGTCATGTTGGTTGCAAGCTCTTCAAAATGGTTGAATATCACTGCTATCATACAAGATAATAAATTCAAACTTCACTCACTGGTAAATGTGATGCATCAATGTACAAAAAGTTAATAGATTTATAACCAGTGTAAGTTGAGCTTGCAACCAATGTGACGTCATAAATTAGCGGACATATTCACTCTCATTTACCTATCAAACAAATTGAAATATCTCGGGAACAAACCATGAAAACAAGAAACTGAAAAATAAGTTACACTACAGCTTAAAGAGTTCTTTCGTTTAAGAAAATAAGAAATTTCATGTCATATGCACTTTAAGATATTTCTTAACTTTAATTAATAGACCTTAGGCTAGTGCTTACGAAGAAGTGCTTACGTCACGCAATTTTTAATACAGAGGACTTCTGGAATACACAGTGCATTGTGGGATACTTTTGGGTCAATTTATTTATAAAAAAACCATCTTTTAACACGGTAAGAAGTATTGTAGACTGATCCCCCCACCCCACCCCTACTAGCAATTTCTTCGCCCAAACCTCCCTTATTCCCCCTCTCACACTTCAATTATTACTTTGATTCCATACTTGGCAGCAGCGTATCCGAAGTTTGTTTCATTGAATTGGTTCCGGGCTTCGACAACATCAGTGTGTTATTATTACTTCTTAACTCGTATATTTAAAATCAAAATTAGAATACTATTATAAAAATTATTATTATTATAATTATTATTATTTTTTAAAATCAAAATTAGAATATTATTTCTCAGAATTACATATTTCAAACATATCTGAAATGTTCTCAGGACATTCGCAGAGCTTTCGAGACATATTTTACTTTTAGTTGCTGCTCCTTTCTTTTTTCCGCAAGCGTTTTCCAATGTAATTTTTCCAAAATATCCGCGAGGAGAGTGTTTCATATGAATCACCTGTAATGACTCTGGCATGCAGCTCGGTGATGAAGTTGCTGCAGCTTTCCTTTAAGGATGCGCCACAGTTGCCCCACACCATAGAACAATAATCAATGGTAAAGCATTTCGTATGAATATGCTTGGTAAAGCATATTCATACGAAATATATATACGGTTGAAACATTTTCAAACAATAATTCATTGTTTGAAAAATTACGTGACGTAAGCTGACACTTCTATTAAGGACCATTGGAGTAAAATTAACAATTTCTCACCCTGATATGGTTGTCACTTTCGTTATCAATCACCAAGATTCTGAAAGGATATTTGACATTCTTTACTGAAATTCTGACGAAATAAATAGGGAGATAGTCTGATTTCAAACTATGCCACTCTCCTCCTTCTATTATAAACACCAGACCATAAAATGTCGCCAAAATATGTTCTGTTGAACGAAGAAATGTTTTTTGATCAAGTTTTCTCAAGTCAGGCAGCTTACGAGCCAAGGGAAATGTAAACTCAGAAAAATCTTGGTGGATCACTGGTGTTGAGTTCCACTTCGTTAAACGTCTGTTTGAAGGTAAAGTGGATGACGGCAATTCTGTGATAGGAGGAAGAGGTGCTTTGAATCTTTTCTTACCACTAGAGAGAACAAGAGAAACCTTAAGTATAATATGAACATACTAGCGATATCAGAATTAAATATAGCACATTTTGTAGATCTTAAAGAAGAAAAAAATGATGTTTATAGGATTAATTATATATTGTCCCGATTTATACTACAGATTTATATTGATCCGTCTGGAGGAACATCATGGGCACAGAGAAGATATAGTTTGCATTTTTGTCTGATAATTCGTCTGTGTAAAACCGCGGACAAACAAACGTATCATTCATCAGACGAAAGAACTGCAAATCAACCAATAGCTATGTTTTCATTCAACTATCACGACGCGACTGGGTAATAGGTAATTCCAGCTTTTAGTTTATGCATGCAGGTATGTGGTAAGGTATCATATTGTTGATTATGCTGGAAAAAATAAAAATGGCGGTATGAGTGATAGCTCATACTTGTAAATATTGAAATATTTCGGTTGTTTCGGCAGATTTTTCGGCAAATTTTTCAGCATAATCAGCAATATGATACTTTACTTCCCGTCACCCCCTGCGCGCATAAATTAAATGCTGGAATTGCCTATTAAACCAACACGCTGCAATTGGTTGGTTTGGCAAAAATACAATGCACACGTGACGATGAACCAACCATTTTTTTGCACGAACCAAGACAAAAACATAGATAATGACGCCCATTATGTCTGTATCGACTTTCCTAACCTTCTTATTCTATTGACTATGCTCAGACTGAGGAAAACATTAGTTTGACCATTACCGTTACTCGTTATAGGTTAACTCCTAGAGTTACCATGCGCTGTCCAAACATTACCGCATATTAAGAAGTGCAATCATCAATTATTAGGTCAACTTGTCTCTACCATTTGAATGTATCAGAAGTCCAGAAAGAGTACGTTACAGTTAAAATTATCAGGGGGGATTCTCGTATTTTTGGTAAGGACTAAATGTGTGTTGCGTAACAGTGTTACACACAAAATATTGCTGAATTGCACATCAGCACATGCAATGGAAACTGTGAAATGACCTCAAGAGAAGAAGCCAATCGTATAACTTCGACTTGTTTTAAGGCGGATTTCCATCCAATCACAATGCTAAACGGTTAATTTTAATTAGATGCAAGCACTCGCAGCAGAATTATTTAGATTACAAAATCGTTATTGTCGATGACAATTTTTCATCATTCTGAGTTGCCATTTGGATGGAAGCATTAACTAAATGAAACATTAACTAGACAAAATGAAAATCTTCATCTTCGGTCATCACAGAAATTCTCTCTATTAATTTTCAAACATTTGTGTGCACAACAGAAATTCTAAAAGAATTCGAAAGTTAGAAAGCAATTTAGGATTTTTTCCTGCAAGGCTTTGACCACATGACCAATTATTGAAATTGTTACTACATTTCAACATTCTCATTTCTCAAGTATTTAAGAAACCGAAAGTTATCATTATAGTGGCATATATATAGATTTGAAATGTTGATGTGTCCGCATTTCGAAAAGAAGGAATCCGTTTCCATAGTTATGGAGTAAGCACCTCTTGTTATATTGACGATTTTGCCATATTTTACAAAGCATATGAACGACTATTAGAGATTTTCCTCAGATAAACCAGAAGTCAGTGGTACGACGATTGGCCAGTGTAAGTCCAAATAATACCAGATAACATTATTCAGAATCCATTGTCCATGCATGCATAGTTTTGTAGTTTAATATTATAAAACTTCCAGAAACTAGATTGTAGTAATTCGATCTTAGTGTATTTGTCTGTCGATGCATAGAATATACTAAAAAATAAAAATTCTGAATTGAGTTACGTGTACAACTCTTTGAGTTACGTGTACAAGTCTTTATTTCTAACGCGGACTCCCAGGCAAGCACGAGACAATGCTCATCTTATTATCATGCATACAACCGCAACACTGACGAACCAATATAAATGCCTAATCATCAATTGAAAAAAATGGCAGGAACGAAGCCTACGGCTATGGTCAACAGAAGCACTTTCCAGATAGATTATATCGTTCTATATTTAAGATTACTATTTATATAACACAATTATTCTCTTCATTGACCTTTTTGTGTGGGTCCAAAAATAGGTGTAGAAGAATTAGCACGATACAGGCAAGAAAAGCAATTAGAGAAACGTTACGTTCTGATTCCCTCAAGTTATGATAGAACGATAATTATTGTTCAGGAACCTTCAAGAATGTACATGCACCTCCCCCGCAATGTTTTGTATTTGACTTTAATAAATATTCTAACAGAAATTATAGTTTGTTTACGACATACTGAGACACACACCTATATAAGGCTATATTAATATTAAGGAAACGGATTATAAGTCGATATTCATATAGGATATATTCGCTTTTAGTACCACGGAAACAAGTAATACTCACAGAAGTGTACAGTTGTATGTATAGAAAGGAATGGTTTAAAAAACAGAAAATAATTCGAATCATATTTGATGTTTTTTATCACTCGTTACAGAATGATAAAAAGAACAGCGGCAAGTTATTAGCCATAAGCTCATCAAGTAATAGAAATACGAGTCAGGGAATATTACCCTTTAACAAACACATATAGAGAGTGTATAATACGTCTGAATATTGAAATGGATATACTTCCAATAGAATTGATAAAAAAATCTCCGGAAAAGATTTATTGCCTTTAATTCTCACGCTGAGTTGTGCAAAAACAGACCGTTTATAATGATATAAAATATAGATTTAACTGTCTCAATATTCTCACAGAATCCTGAGAATAATACTGGGTTATACATAGCGATGAAACTATATTATCAGCGATCACGTCTGTACGTTTTGTCAAAGTATTGATGTTCTAATTCTCGTTCTAATTTGCATCAGAACACAAAATATCTTTCGAGATACCTTTCGTGACATTCTTCTCGCTAATACTGAATAGGTTCAGGTTTAATTTTACAATAAACAATCTCTCCCAAATAAATCATTAACGTTTAACAAATTCATGCCGTTACTGAGCACTAAAAGGTAACATAAAAAGGACAGCTGAAGTTAGTGAGTGATCAAAATGATATTCATGTTCAATTGAAATTGCCTTGCGTAATTTGCGACTTTGTCTTTGCCAATAGCAATGAGCAAGAAAAATTCCAAAACGAATGAGTTGAACTACATATAGTACAGGTTAAAACCTTATAGTGCTACACTATTTAAAAGATAAAATACAAAAATATGCTTCTAGTGGTTTAAGCATTTGGCTGCTATGAATGAACAAGTACCGTAGAACTATTATAGTAAGTGCTATGCCTATGAAAACGAATACGAATGAATTGTTTAAGGTCACTGCAAGTAACGGTACAACACGTACTGTTATTCAACGTTTAACGATTAAGGTGATATAGATACAAAGTAATTCTTAAATAAAAGAAAGAAAGGATAACAAACCTCGGGTCTTGACGCTCTAAATAAACTCCCGACTTTGCCTTGTTGCAATCGCCATTCTTTGAATAAATTTCCATAGCCAGCAGGACTGAAACAGTCGGGGGTCAAACACTTTGCAATCGAAATAATACAACTACGGTTTTACAAATATGCGAAAAATTCATACAGAAAACAGTCGAATTCACCGTGAAACGGTTTACGACAGAGCGAATAGTGTAAACAGCTGGCTACTAAAGACGTGATGTATTAAATTTATACCCACTGTCTGTGTCTTTGTATTTCGTCATTTCCAAATGCACTTAAAACTTGAAAACGGGAAGCAACAAGAGATGCTAGTTTTGCCGGCAGAATGAGCAGGGCTAGCATAAACTACATAAACAGGCTGTAACATAAATTGCCTATCAAATATCTTAAATGATTTACATGATTTAGAATTGGCGGGGATAGGCGGGATCTCTTCGTTTTGTTGACAATATTTTACGTTCAAATGTTTGCTCAGATTTAAGAGATTATGCAATGTTATTATGCAAGGCAAGGTGGGATCGTTAAACTATGATCTGAAACAAACTTCATGTGTCTTAGGAATTTCCCATAGGCCATAACCTAAAATCCAGCTACAAGTACAATATTTTCAGTTGATAGACGGATAGTGCTGGACTCGGCTAAATCATACATGTAAACAATGTTGAGAAATTAACGTTACGCATGATAGGTTACTGACGACAGCTTGAGATGTCACATTAATCATTCACTAACCTTAGCTGAGTTTAAAAACAACTTTTTCTGGCCTGAGTTATAACAGACTCCACCATCAACTGCATATCACGATGTATTACATAACCTCTGAAGATATTGATTATTGTAGCAACTACCCGACGCAGACACTATTTTAATTGTGTGCTGTGTGAAATTTATCTTTTATTCTGTATTTCCTTATAGGAAACCTAGGCAACCGGAAAGTTTATGCAAAGTTTTATACAAAAACGAATATAATTCTTTTCAATTTCATTCTATATAAACACAACAAATGGGCATACCGATATTTTCTGATTACACTGTGATTTTTCAAACCGTGTAATTTTAATAATTATTAAATAAAAGATAATTTTTTTTCAAACATGCACTGCCTTTATTCTTTACTCTTTAGAGTTTAGGTCACTTTACGTTCGAAGAACTTTCCGAGAAACTTTCTCTGCATGAGTATATTTAATCTGTCTTTGCCTGTGAAGTTACATCAGATATACAGGAACAAGTCTGTTCACTTCAATACACATAAACTTACTGATTTATACCAAATTCTATTTTTTCGATTTAGTAGTTTTTCTCTTCTTGTTGTTAGTGGAACCATATTTCTCTTCCAAACCTGCTAAGAAATTGTTCATTTCAGTTTTTCTGTCACCTTGACGCTTTGAAATCATGGCAGCTAAATCACCACCACTGCCCATTCCGATTTCTTTTGCAGCTTTTTCTGCTTCGACAGCTTCTTCTTTTGCCTGGGAAAGAAAATTTGAGGTTAAGGCAACATGCAAGAAATATTTCAAACATGGGGTTCCATAATTCTTGGTTTATTATTTAATGAGGACACTACCAAAGAAATCGTTTGATCTTATGTGTATGACGTTGGCTTATGCCAAATACGCCTTTTCGGGGTTCTAGCAAGATCGCGTGGCGAAAAGGTGTATATGTGAGGACCTCATTAAAGGCTGCTCTCCAGTCACGCGTTTTTCATACGTGCGTATAACCACGGAAAAGTTTAAATCTTTTTAAATTTAACACTAGTATGACTTACCTGTGCAAATGCACATTAAATCATTCACAAAACTATATGCTTTCCTTTTATTCATTCAGTTATTTCATAAGTAACATTTAAAGATATTTTATATATAACTTTTCCCGCACGTATGAAAAACGCGTGACTGGAGAGCAGCCTTGAGACGCAAGCACAATAACACCATGAGCACCTACAATTATGCTTATGCTGTTTACGTAACGGTCATGAAAGCAACACATGCAAGCTAGCTATATATGAACATCAAGGCGCTCCTATATGTTCGAAAATTATTGCACTTAACAAACTCGAGGGCTACGCTTTTTTCCTGAGATGGCCTGGACTTTCGTTTAATGGAATTTAGAGTGCATATACAGGATGACGGAGGAAACAGGTAGAAAATTAACACGCCATCCTTCCTGCACAGGTAGAAAATTAACAACATGAGCTCCACCTTTGAATTTACTATATGAGTACATTCTTAAACACGTCTGAATTTATCATTATGATAAATTCGCGGAACAATTTGAATTTATCAATAGAGTTAATCATAAAACCACAAACATTAGACAAGACTTCTTGTTATAAATGTAATGGCACTAAAAGGGAGGCTGGCCGCGTGGAGGTGGTGACACTTCCAAGATTTTCAAAAAAACAGCTTTTAAAAAGTTTTTAAAACGTTTTAAAAGAGTTTTAAAAAGAAAAAAAGTTTAGAAAGTTAGATTTTCAAAAAAGTTAAAAAAGTTAAAAAAGTTAGGGGTTAGGTGGGGTTAGAGGTTAGTGGGGGTTAGTGGTTAGTGTTAGGTGCCGCGAATTTAGTAAAATGTGCCGCGAATTTATCATAATGATAAATTCGGACGTGTTTAAGAATTTACTCCTATAGTAAATTCAAAGGTGGAGCTCATGTTGAAAATTAGGAACATTTTGAATTATTAATCGACTTTTAACAAATTTATAGCTCTCAAAACCTAAAATATGATGCAGACACTAAAAACATAAATGAGCCCTGGCTGGTTCCGCGTTTACGCTTATGAGTTATGTTTACTTGTGGTTGCGTTGTAGTCTTTTTCAGGTAATTTCGGCCAAAATGAGGAAAAATAAAAACACACTTGGAATATATTATAGTAATAGCCAGTGTGGCCGGCTCTTTTCAATAGGGCAGATAAAAGAGCCGGCCACGCTGGCTAATATAGTGACGTCTTGTATGCTCATGCATAACCAGACACACTTCAAAGCACAAAGATATTTTATTGTGAGAAAAAAACGTGAACGAGTGGTGGACGGATGAATGAAGTCATACAGAACGAAAAATAAAAAAGTTCCACGTACTTCATTTTTTCGAATACCATGCATGCACAGACTGAAAAAATCTTCAGGAATTTCAGAAACGAAATCACTATATTTCAAAAGAGGTATGACCTCATATGTATACGAGTCAAATAAGCCGGAAGATTCGCCTTGTTCTATATTTCAAAATCAGAGAGAATTGTAAAACCGAAAAAGAATGAGAATTTAATATAATTATCTCGCTCTTTTAATTGTTTGATTCGTACAAATCTTAAAATCTGAATATGACTCGAGTGAATATTGAATGAATATTGAAAACTGCGCATATATTCCCTTCTATTATTTACATTTTTGAAAATCTTGATATTGGACAAATGTCAAATGACAACTGACAAACATTATACTGCTAGTAGTACCAGGCCTGCAAATTAGTGCCGGTCATATCATCGGACATTGTAGCAATATAGACAGCACTTCTCCACTATTTCTTGCTGCATTAAGCCGTAAGATTTAATTATAAATCTACATCATCTTTGTATACATGGTAGAAATTAAAGTTATGTGTAACCTGAACCATAATTTACTGATGCATTGGGACTGGTAGATATACAGTATACACGCTTTTCATAAACGGCTACCGATTAAAAATTCTTTTATGTGCATATAAATTGGCCCAACTAGCCTCGTACTCATGTTAGGATTTCAAAGGAATTTCTACCCAGAAACGAGGCTAGTTGGGCCAATTTATATGCACATAAAATAATTTTTAATCGGCAGTCATTTATGAAAAGGGGGTGTATACTAAAATATAAAAAATATAAAACTCCGAAAATAGAAATCAATACTAAGTTTTAGATGCATTGCAGTGCGGACTAACATGACCAGGCAAAAAAATACAAAATACATCCTGCTATAGCTAATTTTCAAAACAAAATATGAAAAATTTTACTTTGTCCGGGAAAAATTGATAAATGTCCGACCAATTTTTGGCTTGGCTAGACTACATTTGTCCTTCCAAGTAAAACAATTATTTGCAGGCCTGTACTACTGGCAAAAACACGGTCGTAATACTCCAATCTCCATGCTATAAATATAAGTCAAGATTAACAAAACAAGGCCAAGTAAATAATATTGGTTGCTAATTTTTTTTACTTTTGGTAAAATTTTGTCAATTTTGGAAGAAAAAAATTGTAATGGTCTTTTTCTGGTTAAATTTTGGTAATAATTCGTGTTTGAAACTGGAAAAATCTGATCACACACAGCGCTCCAAGCTATCTAATATTCAATACTCAAATCAGGCCTAGAAAATATATTCCCCTTCCTGGCAGCAAAATCGAAAATGTCCTGTGTAAGTCAAGTATATAACTTCCTACATGCATGTAGATTTCAGAGAACGTTCAGTGCGTTCTGATAAACTTCAATGTCGGCACAAGACAATCTCGACTTGCAAAACGCTTTTACCGTTTTGGGATTTTGACAATTAGTAAATTGTATATGGCATTCCAAATATAAGATGACAAAAATTTCCCGCCAGGTGTAAGAGAATTTCCTGCGAAGATATTTTGTTAAAATTTCCTGACACCGGTGTCACAGCGGATTTGGACTCCCCGCGTCTAGCGTCGGACCCCTAGGCGTAAAAAAATACCTGTGGTTACGGTTCCCGACCGACCCTATTTTTTTCTGCCGACCCTATTATTTTTTCAACGCGATTGACCGTGCGGCCCTATTTTCTCCAGGTGGTTGCGGGCTGCTCATACAGCGTGCCAAAATGGCGTCTGTTGTCACACTAATTATTGAACCAAATTGCCTAAATCCGGCATAGGAAATACGCATCTCTAGTTAATATTGATGTCGGGACTCTACTGCAAATCGCCCAGCAAAAAACTGCCAAAACCATGAAAAAAATATTCAAAAAAAAAATTTATTTCCGACTTACCGACCCTAATTTTTTCACGATATGAAACCGGAACCACAGGTATTTTTTTTCGCCCTACGGTACATGGAACCCCCGGATTTGGACCGGGGGGGGGTCCATTTTGAGAGGGGTCCAAATCTGCTGGGACACCGGTGTGCTGGCGCTGCCGGACATTTTTCAGCACCACGTGTATTACTATGTCATAATTGTAGTCACTGTCAAAAACAAAATAAATTAGATTTCATGGGGCTAAATGAAGTTCTAGAGCAATGAATTTTCGGTTTCATAACTGTGAATCCTTGAACTGACGCTAAAAAGATTTAATCCTCCCCCACAGACATTTCATTTCATTTTCGATTTAATCTCGTCTCATGACACTGACAAATATAGCTAGTAAACAGGTCACAAACGTCATTTCCCACGCTTGTTCCGCGTTCAGAAAGTAAAAGCTGTCCTATGTCATTTACATGTACGTCAAACCCTGAAATTGCATTCATTCATCTCTTTATTAACACTTTCCCTGCCACAGACGAATTTTGTTGCCAATAGTCTGTGTTTGTTTGGGCCCTTTTATTTGTGTGCTAAGGCAGGCAATGATAGACAGCTTTACAGTCAACTCGGCCCACCGTTCAAGGACCAACTCCGCCCGCTCGTAAACTGACTAATCTAACCATTAAACAAGTTAGGAGCCCTGACTGCGTTCTATCTTTGCAAATTTTGAGAGAGATTTGAATGATCAGTAATTTAGTATCAAAACGGACAGACCGAGAATTTGAAACTTCGATAGATTCTTTAATAAAATTAAGTCAAACTGGATGATCTCAAACTTTACTCATCTGTATGCCCAATGCAACTGCAAATGGCTGTATTGGTTTGGTGCTATCTTTTGTAAAATATTAGCTTTCCTAATATGTCAAACAGTACGTAGTTAACAATTGGGCCAATTAAGATGGTTTGGGCCAAGTTGGTCAGTGCAATTAAATTGGGCCGAGTTGACCAGCTTCCATATGTAATGACTGACGTAGTACAGTCATGACTTTGTGCCAGACGTTGTGTTGCATTTTGCACCAAAAACTACTCTTTTAATATTTAACACGGCCTTCAGGATCGTAAATTATTTAATAGATCGTATGTTGTTAAAAGATCACAAATCGGAAATGATTGACTGGGAAGAAAGATTGGTGATGATATTGGAACTCACGAGTTACGGTAATTGGCTAATACAGGAAGATGTTTTTAAAATTTAATTGTTTGAAGATATCTATATTATCCCTATGCATTTCCTGGCTTAATTGATGACATGATTGGCATGGACATCTCTAGCGTTCAAACAAAAGCTCCATAATGATACTGAAGTGCAGGAAAGGATGTCTATAGACACTAGTATCAGGGTGATTTTTCTTGGATATGGCCACCTCATTAATATGGGCACCACTTTATTATGGCCACTTATTTTTCTCCCAGCAGAACATCAAGACAATATAAACATTGCTTTAGAATGATACAACATTAATACAGCCGCAGTACAATTATAGAACACCTGGCTACCTAAACATGCATGATTATGTGGCTACATGATCAGATAGAACATTGTCCAACACTTTATGGACATTAAAGGTGATGGGTAGGTCAGGAATAGACATGCAGGCATTGAATAACTTAAAATATGTCTTTTCATTCAATTCGGCCAATGAAAGTTGATATCATGTTTCTCGTCCACAATTTTCAAAAATTTGGAGCGGGATTTTTTCATTTTTCATTTTTCATTATTTTTTGTATTTGAATTCTGAAGTAAATCGGTGTATAATTCATTTTAATTTAATACGTCCTACACTACAGTATATTTCTACACATAAAATGATCATTATAAAACATGAATATGCATGATTATTTATCTTTTCAAAAAAGCAATAAAACCACGCGAACAGATTATTTCGCAACACAGGAAATCGGAAGAAAACCAGAAGCACAGATGATAGATAATACCTGCAGATGAATCACTCAGCCAAAATTGTGTCCGCGATTTTTTATGCGCACGCGTTGGCCTGAAACGTGAGCAATCACGTATTTTGGCAGTAAGCGCCATTTTGGCAGTAAGTGTCGCACGCGTCATCTGGCGTGATAGCCTCGCGAAAATCGCGGACACGAAAATCATAGGCCATAGGGTAGATACACAGTCATTCATCTGGTATAATCTATCATCTGCGCCGGAAGAGAATGATCACGTGTCAAGATCATCCTCGTTCCCAGGGCTGACATGAAAAATAGAGGCATTCTGGCGAGTAATATCTTTAGAAAGATACAATTTGAGTTGCGCTTGCGGAATGTAGCAGTAAGACTTTGATCTGGAGATCAATTTGGTGTTTTGTTACAGGTAAACTACGTGAAGCGTTCCTCTTTTGACTTCATAACTCGTTTGGAATTTTCCTCATTAGCTTTGCAAATTTGAAAAACTCTTTGAAAATCCCTTGAGGGAATGTGCAATGTTCCTATCGACTGTTGCAATATTCCAATACAAACAAACTTCATTTTAAATTTTCCTAACTTCCTGTTTTAATTTCCTAACTTCCTGTTCTGTTCTGAGCGTTGTTATTGGTCGATTATTTTTGTTAGCCAATTGCAACGCCCAGAACAGAACAGAACAGAACAGGAAGTTAAGAATTTCTAACAGGAAGTTAAGAACTTCTAACAGGAACTGAGGAAAATTTAATTGGCTTTTAGCAACATTGCAAATTCCTTCAAGGGATTTGCAAGGGAGTTTTTTAAATTGCAAAAGTAATGAGGAAAATTGCAATCAATTTAGAAACTCAAAAGAGGAATGCTTCACGTAGTTTACCTGTAAGCCTATTTTTCAAAAATAATGAATAATGAAAAATTTTCGTGCGGCAGATAAATCCCATGCGGGCGGGGACGAGAAACATGATATCAATTTTCATTGGCCTTAGAATATTGTCAAAAACTATACAAATGTTAAAAGGGTTAGCCACAGTAGGTCAGGATTGGACAGCCAGGCCTTAAAATATCGGTCGGTCACGGACATTGTCCGACCCATTCGTCAAATTGTCCGACGTAGAGAGGAAACCACCGGACATTCTGTCTGACCAAAGTGAAACTGAGGTTTATTGTTTGTCCGACCCGAGTGAATTGGTGTCCGACCGAAATGTAGCTTTGTCCGACGCTTTCTCCACGCACATAAATCAAAATGTACCCTATGTAGTCCAGGACTAGAGGCTCGTATATGTTTTTATGGAGAATTAGAGTACTGTACAAAAATGAACTGGAAATGTTTTTAATAATGTCACCGAGCTTGGGGCGGCGAGCGAAATGGTGAAGTGGAAAACAAAAAGTTGTCGAAGTCGTATTGCTACATTGACAGGCAAATTAATCTTGGCTCGGAAATAAGTATAAATGACACAAATTATTTAATATCTTCACAACATTTAGTTCAGAATTAATACATTGTGCTGATATTAATTTGCGTCATTCAGACTTATTTTCGAGCCAAACTGAACTGAAGGTCATCGGACATCATCATACATATGTCCGACCCAAACTGAAAGTCATCGGACATTTTGTCAGACGGCCCTGTAAAAGATATTTTAAGGCCTGGACAGCTAGGTTAGGGTTAGGGAAAGGATTCAATGAGGGTCATGCGTGCAGGCATTGAACAATTTCAGGGTTCGTAGTCTCCAAGATGTAGATCAAAGATTTTTTCTGCCTATTTTGAAAGACTTTTCAAAGACCTTTGAGAGCAAACAGCTGTCGAAAAATTGCGAGTGTAAGTACCATTTTTACCCGGGTAATTAGTCCTATCAAATCACATCCTAAAATGCGCCTTTTCGTCAATATTTGCGAAAATCTTGCTTCAATCGATCTATTTTATTAGCTACTCACTAAAGAATTTAAAGACTTTCTTCGCTTTTTCACACAATTCAAAGACTTTTCAAAGACCTTAACTGCATTCAAATTTAAAGACTTTCAAGGATTTCAAAGACCGCTATGAACCTTGAATTTAAAATTGTCAACAATAGCAGCCCTTCAGGGATGTTTGAAGTCCTGGCTAATAATAATTTGGGTATGGCCAATGCTGGTTTGCTGTACAGAGCTAGGCTCAAGCTATTAATTGATGAGCAAAGCGAGTATGCAAAGAATGGAAGGTCGAAGCTTCAAGGGCACTGTAAGTTGAGTGGTGCGCAAAGACTTGCAAGCTTTGTTTATTTGGTATATTGTACGAGTGCAAGACTGGGCTAAAAATTTCAGCATATATTGTTACTGCAAGAACCAGCGAATTACACACAGCCTCTGGCGAATGGCTACAAGCTGACAATTTTTGTGCAATGTTGCAATTCATTCAATAAAAAACCTATTGAAAAAAAAACAATCATTTAATGTAACCTCTGCGGAGGATTGAGGTCCATTGAGCACCAGTACTCTCCTCCTGACAAGTAAAATCACCTGGCGGTAGACAGAGTAAAATAATAAAGTAGGGCGCATTGAGGCACAATGCAACTCAATCGGTAAAACTTCCTATTCATGTTGGAGACAACATTTTGCCTTTGCACATGACAAAAAGCAATTAGAAGTTTTCTATCAACAGTCCAATCCCTGGTAAAATCCCCTGCTAATTAATGCTAATATGATGTTCCAGGGCTTCAAATTTGAGGTATCCTGATATCCCAGCAATACCAGATTTTAAATTTGGATACTGGAAATCATAACGACGCTGATTGACTGATATTGATAAACAAAGTGAAAGGCGATCGAATTAGACTAAGCAGGAAAGATGCGCTCAAAAAAGTGGCAAAGCCAAGCAAAGTATGAAGAAACAAAGCATTGTGAGTCAAAAATTTAAATGGCTTGAAAAAATCCTTTCCATGGGTAACGCTCGTGAACGAAAAGATGTTTTGCAAATGTGGGATACTAGATTTTCTGGGTGGATACCAGATTTTAAGTTGCTAGTATCCCATTGGATACTGTTGAAAAATACAAATTTGAAGCCCTGTGTTCTAAACAAAACCAAAGCCATGCTGGTAGTGAAGGAATGAACTGCTATTGCCCTGCTAATCCCACATAGTTGGCTGGTGAATATAATAAAGTAGCAGAGTTCAATATAATTCTGAAAACTGGGTCTGACAATGTCTGATAATATGTGCATACTGGTGCTGCAAGAACAAGGTAGACATTATTCAAAATGTGGCAAAATGATTGGCCACAGTGTCTGTGAGAGAGGTTAGTAGATGGCCATACCTGTGTTTTGACCAGAAAATGATTGATGGTTAACTTAGGCAAAGTAGCCACACAGCCATCGACACCCTGCTAGTATACTGTTTTGTGTACGGTTCCATTGTAAATCTATCTGTTGATATTAATGCACCAATCAATTTATACTGTTAACACCCTCCCCTCCTTTTCCTATCCCTGGGGGTAGGGAATTTGACTTTTTAAACCGCTGCAGGGGTGGGGCATTTGACAACAAGCTGCAAGATGTGGCAGAATACCCTGGGGGTCGGGCTTTTGATAGGGGTGCACCGGAACTCGGTTCCGGCTGGTTAGTTCCAGCCGGAACCCCGATTTTTTAGAGTTCCGGTTCCGGCCGGAACTAGTAAAAAAAGCATGGCCGGAACCGGAACTCTGTCGTTTTCATAGCCTGCGTGCAGGCCCAAGGAACTGATAGTGGGCCTGCAAGCAAGGCCCGGTATTTTGTAAAACGCCCCTTTTCATAACACGCCCCATTCGCGCGTCAATTGTCAAAAAAGAACCAATGACAGCACCCAAATATTAACAAACAAACTCGCATTAAAATGTTGCGGGGTTTTCTCTGCTTATTCAGAACATAAACAATGTGTAAATGGTGCGTTTTAACTCCAAAAAAGCAAGCAACGCAGTCAGTAATTGCCAAATTTGCAAGAGCTCATTTTCAACTGAAATCGGAACAGGCAAATTAGGACGAATTTGAACAGAAAACCAGTCTCAAACTTCAAATCATGAGGGAAGTCGGGCGACCACATTAGCATTTATACTGTAATGTGTGCTTTGCTGTGGCCATTGTTATAAATAAATTGTCTCACTTATCAGATCGTGTGTGCAATTCTTGTTGGCGGCGGAAAGTACAAAATTTATTTCAGTTATTTCATTTGGTAAAGAACTCTACAAAAGAAGAGACCGTTCAGAGTCCAGATCATTTCGTTTCAAACGGCAATTTAATACCGTCTTCTGTTTCGCTCTCTCAGCGAAGCCTTGTAAATCGCAAAGTGTCTCGAATAGGCTCACATGCAACTGCATCTCAACATCAACCAAAAGATCATCTTCTTGAGGAACATATAACGTAACAAGTCTGTTTGAAATTAATGAAACTCAAGTGTATTAAAGGCTCTGTGGTAAAGGTTACTATAGTTTACCCCGGTCGTAATGTTGCTATTCCAACACCTCACGACAAGCAATCCCCATTGGCATAACGGCAAAAACATCTCTTCCTTCAAGTAAACAATAAACAGCCTGTTCTTGTTCCATTTGTAATCGAAAAAAGTGATCAATTTTCGAATTTTAAGCTTATCGAGATTTATCGAGAGCCTTTGTGATGAATCACTGACCTAATTATAGAATCCAACAGCAAACAGCCAATCAGAATGCCGCATTCGTGGGCAAACGCAGAAAGTACAAAATACCGGGCCTTGCTTGCAGGCCCACTATCAGTTCCTTGGGCCTGCACGCGGGCTATCGTTTTCAGGGAGATAGAATAATAAACGTTTTGTGTCTAACAAAAGGTCACAGTAGGAAGAAAGTTGGACTACGCAAGGGAAATGTACACTATTAACACTTCATTATGACGTTTAACATTTGTCAGTCTTTTTATTCTGACATTTGCGAACTCTCTACTTGATGATTTGAAGTGTCTGCTTGTCTGGCAGCGGACAAAGTAACATATGACTATATATGGCTTAATAAATTAGTTCCGGTTCCGGCCGGAACTTTTTTCCAGTTCCGGTCGGATCCGGTTCCGGCCGGAACTTAAAAAACGGTTCCGGTGCATCCCTAGCTTTTGACCTTCAATTTGTCCTTTCATTTGCCGGGGGATGTTTACAGTATAAATTGACTGCCGCATTATACTCCTACTATAACCATACCTTTTGTTTCCTGGCTCTTTTCTTTCTCTTATCCTCTTTAGCAAAATTTTCAAAGACTGGAAGCTCATTATTATCAATTGCATTTTGTAAGATTTTTCGAAACCTTGCCTCGTCATCTTCAGTCGAACACAGAACATTTTCTAGTATTCCTTCCATATCACCTTCACATTGAACATAAGCCGACTTGAGATCTTTCAATTCCTCGTCTGAACCTTTATACTGTTTTTCAAATTTTTTAATATCCTCAGTAGTAATTTTAGGAAACAAAACTCTCCAGTAATACATCCAATCTCGCTCTTGTTGAACCATTTCCTCACCAACCTCACCAGTCTCATCGTAAACTGCACGAAGATCTTTATTGGTCAATATCAAGTGCACTTTACTTATTGCTTGAAATTTCTGAGTCGCAAGATCTTTGTGTTCACTGCCCACTCTATCTGGGTGAACTTTTAGTGATACACGCCTGTATGCTTTCTTTATTTCTGCTTCAGAAGCAGTTTTCTCCACACCAAGGATCTCGTATAAACCTTGGGTGCCAAATAGAGAGTCTAATTCTTCTAAAAAGCTCATATTATAAATTGAAAAAAATCTTTTTTAATTTTTCTTCTGAATCAACTTTCCCGCTTCTTGCTTTCTTCCCCTCATGAGCCTGCCAAAGCACTTGTCAGTGGTAATACAACCTGAGTAATTCATGTTATGTGAAACAAAATGTATTTCTAATTTTCTGCAAAATTCAAACTGAAAGTTTTAAATTTGTGAACCAGCAGTGAAAATTGTTTAGATTTTTTGAAATGGCAGAAAAGCGAGAATTTGACAATCCATTTGATGATCAAATTGCTGGGCAACTTCTAGATGACGCTGGCAAGGTACAGTACAGACTGTACAGTGAATCATAAATATTTGATAATTTGCATGCATGAAATGACATGCATCAACATATTTAAAGTCCTACAAAATAATAAATGGGTATAGTTAGGCATTTAGCAGGGTGTACCTTTTGTGAAGATTAATACAGAGTTTGTACATTTAGCAGGGTATACTTTTTGCAAGATATTTTTAGCATATTTGCACTGCATCAAGTTGATGGATGTTAAAAAACTAGTATACAGTCAGAATTAATGCACCTATCAATGTTAATCCCGAGGGAGGGGGGGTCGGGCAAGGGGTGGGGATTTGACATTTTACAAAAAAAAATGTCAAATGCCACTCCCTCGGGAGAAAATTTCTGGGCAAAATTCCCCACCCCCGGGATGAAATTGTATTACTGAAGTATTTGGTTTCTGGTGCACTCTATATGTCAGGTGATAGGGAAATTACACAAATACATTTGGCGGTATAATTTAAAAGTATAACAAACATAAAGAACGTTTCAAAATAACTTAAAATACTCATTAA